TCATTAATGAAGATACTGAACAAAACCGGCCCCAGGACCGACCCTTGGGGCACTCCGCTTGAAACCGCTGCCAACTAGACATGGAGCCATTGATCACTACCCGTTGAGCCCGACACTCTAGCCAGCTTTCTATCCACCTTATAGTCCATTCATCCAGCCCATACTTCTTTAACTTGCTGACAAGAATACTGTGGGAGACAGTATCAAATGCTTTGCTAAAGTCAAGGAATAACACGTCCACTGCTTTCCCCTCATCCACAGACCCAGTTATCTCATCATAGAAGGCAATTAGGTTAGTCAGGCATGACTTGCCCTTGGTGAATCCATGCTGACTGTTCCTGAACACTTTCCTCTCCTCAAAGTGCTTCAGAATTGATTTCTTGAGGACCTGCTCCATGATTTTTCCAGGGACTGAGGTGAGGCTGACTGGCCTGTAGTTCCCCGGATTCTCCTCCTTCCCTTCTTTTAAAGATGGGCACTACACATTAGCCTTTTTCCAGTCATCTGGGACCTCCCCCGATCGCCATGAGTTTTCAAAGATAACGGCCGATGGCTCTGCAATCACATCCGCCAACTCCTTTAGCGCCCTCAGATGCAGCGCATCTGGCCCCATGGACTTGTGCTCGTCCAGTTTTTCTAAATAGTCCCGAACCACTTCTTTCTCCACAGAGGGCTGGTCACCTCCTCCCCATACTGTGCTGCCCAGTGCAGCAGTCTGGGAGCTGACCTTGTTTGTGGAGACAGGGGCAAAAAAAGCATTGAGTACATTAGCTTCTTCCACATCCTCTGTCACTAGGTTGCGTCCCTCATTCAGTAAGGGGCCCACACTTTCCTTGACTTTCTTCTTGTTGCCGACATACCTGAAGAAACCCTTCTTGTTACTCTTAACATCTCTTGCTAGCTGCAACTCCAAGTGTGATTTGGCCTTCCTGATTTCACTCCTGCATGCCTGAGCAATATTTTTATACTCCTCCCTGGTCATTTGTCCAATCTTCCACTTCTTGTAAGCTTCTTTTTTGCGTTTAAGATCAGCAAGGATTTCACTGTTAAGCCAAGCTGGTCACCTGCCAAATTTACTATTCTTTCTACACATCGGGATATAATATTCTATTCCCTATGTAAAGGATCCATTTCCAATGATTTCATAACATCTTTGGGTACAACTCCATGTTTAGATGCTCTTATTCTGGAATAAGAGTGCCCTAAATGGTCCCAGTTACTTGACATTTTCCCCAGTTAGTGTATGGCTCTTATTAAGCTTTTGGTGGACCAAAGTGAAAATGGTATTTGAAAAAGAGTTAGGCCTACCGATGGGCATGAGACTAGCACACATTGGATTACGCTGTGTGTGTGCCCAAGAGGTTTGCTAACCAGCCAGTAAGCACAGGACCTGAGTGGGTCAGGAATAAATGTTACAGCCACTGTACTTGAGCAACCCCCAGGCACTGGAAATTCAAACCCAGCTATAATCTGCCTCTGTCAAGGGTTGTTTTGTTTTTTTCATTTTGAGGAAATGCAATTTGATTACAGCAGAAAATTCAGAAGGTGTTCACACTATTTTTGAAAAGAAAATAAATTACACAGGCAAATGCCTCCTGGGATGTGGGGGTTTAAAAGGTGGAGAAGCAGTGTGGGAGAGGGGTTTGGGGCAAGAGCAAAGGAGATAGGATTAAGGGCAGGGGAACAAATGGGTATGGGTGATGAGGGATGGATGATACGAAAGTGTGGGGAAGAGACCGGGGCAGTCCCATTTTCGCTCCTCCCATGTGTTCAGGGATCTGGAGGTATCTGAGCCCCAGACTCCTCTCCCTGCTCCCCCAGGTGAGCTGGCATCTAGGGAAGCCCTGCCCCTCTAGGTGGGGAGCTGAGAACAGGCATGCTAGGAACATGCACCAAGAACACACTGCTGAGAGATGGGGTGAGGAGCGGAGAACAGATGCTTGACATGTGTCACAGGCTCTCAAGCACTGGCACTGGAGAAAAGGGATAAGAACATTGACTCAGGGTATGTCTACACAAACTGCTACAGCGGCACGGCTGCAGCTGTGCTGCTGTAGCGCTTCAGTGAAGATGTTACCTTCTCTGATGAAAGGGGTTCTCCCACTGGCATAAGTAATTCACTTCCCTGAGAGATGGTAGCTAAATCCAGAGGAGAACTCTCCTGTCAACCTAGCACAGTCTACATCGGGGGTTAGGTCCATTTAACTATGTTGCTCGGGGGTGTGGATTTTTCACACCCCTGAGCAACGTAGTTATACTGACTTAATGCCCTAGTGTAGACCAGGCTTCAGATGAACAGAGCAGTTACACATCTCAGAGCTATTGTTTCAGGCTCTATACATCTCCATGGGGCATTCCTCTTCACAGGAATACATCACAGTGAGCTCAACTGGCCTCTCCATACACCTCTCTGAGCCTCCTATGCTGGAGATGGATATGTAGAACCCCTTCCAAGGGCTTGTCTACACCACACAGCTTTTAGCAACAAGGCTGTGTTTGTCGCTAAAAGTCAGTGCGTGTAAATGCTCTTTTTTGGTACTTTGTCGGCACTTTTGCTGACAAAATACTTCCAGCCCCGCAAGCGGCGTTAGCTTTGTCAACAAAGCCATGTTCACACTGCCGCTTGCATCGACAAAACTTGTGACTTTCATGGGGGAGGGGGGGAGGCGGGGGGCTTTTTTAAGTACTTGTGAAAGACAGAAGTTTTGTTGACAACTTCACGGTGTAGACAAGCCCCAAGTCACTACACCTCTTTATGCTTCCGTTTCCCCATCTGTACAATGAGGATAAAGTGTTTTGAGATCTACTGATGAAAAGCATTACATAAGATCTAGGTATTATCATTGTTACCTAGCCACAGTAGTGTCCCAACTACCAACCTAAATAACTACTACTTCCAAAATGATCACTAAGGCTGTGTCTACACTGCCACTTTCAGTGCTAAAACTTCTGTCGTTCATTTTTTTTTGTTGTGAAAAAAAACCAATACCCCTCTGAGTGACAAAAGTTTTAGTGCTGAAAAGCGCCAGTACAGACAGTGCTTTATCGCTGGGAGCATAAAGCTACCACCGCTCCTTTGGGGTTTTTTTTTTTTTTTTTTTAATCACTGGAAGAGTTCTCCCCTGGCAATAAAACATGACTACATTGCGCATGTCACAGTTCTGCCGCAGCCACGCTGTAATGTGGGCACTGTAGACATACCCTTACTCGAACACCAAGATTTCTCTTTATGTTCAAAAAAGTTAGGGTTACCATATGTCCGGCTTTCCCCGGACATGTCCGGCTTTTGGGTCTTTAAATAGCCATCCGGGGGGAATTTGTAAAAAGCTAAAAATGTCTGGGATTCCCCCCCGGATGGCTATTTAAAGACCCAAAAGCGGCTGACAGGGCAGCCGCGCCGGATTGAGCCGCTCACTTGGGGCCTCTCCGGCAGCAAAAGCTCCTCCCCCACTTCCCCCCCTCCCTTGCAGCTACAGCACGCCAGCAGCGCTGCGCGGGGCATAGGCACCGACTTTAGCCAGCGCCGGTGGGTGCTCGGGCCCCCCCTGTCCTGCTCCGTCCCCATTCCAACCCCTTCCCCAAATCCCAGGCCCCGCCTCCTCCCCCAGGCACGCCGCTTTTCCCCTCCACCCCCCTCCCTCCCAGACTTTTGCGCGGAAAGCCTGGGAGGGGGGAGAAGCGGAGGTGAACTGGGGCAGGGAGGTGAGGGGAGGGCTGCCCGCAGCAGGTAACCGGGGGCGCAGGGGAACCGCTCCCCGCCCCAGCTCATTTCCGCTTCGCCTCTGCCTGCTGCCTTGAACGCACAGCCACGCCGCTCCGCTTCTCGCCCCCTCCCTCCCAGGCTTGCCGCGCGGACAGCTGATTTGAGGCAAGTCGGGGGGGGCGGAGAAGCGGGGCGGCTGCGCGCTCAGGGGAGCAGGCATAGCCAGAACAGGGGGGTTGGATGGGGTGGGGGTTCTGGGGGGGCCTGTCAGGGGGCAGGGGTGTAGAGAGGGATTGGAGCAGTCAGGGGACAGGGAGCAGGGGGGTTGGATGGGGGGGGTTCTGGGGGGGCCTGTCAGGGGGCGGGGGTGTGGAGAGGGATCGGGGCAGTCAGGGGACAGGGAGGGTTAGATGGGTTGGGGGGGCACTCAGGGGACAGGCAGCGGTTAGATAGGCATGGGAGTCCCGGGGATCTGGCGGGGGCGGGGGTGTGGATAGGAGTCAGAACAGTCAGGGAGTGGGGTCCTAGGGAGGCAGTTAGGGTGGGGGGGGTCTCAGGAGGGGGCAGTCGGGAACAGAGATAAGGGAAGCTTAGATAGGGGGTGGGGTCCCGGGGGGTGGTTAGGGGCAGGGCTCCCGGGAGAGGGCGATCAGGGGACAAGGAGCAGGGGGGGTTGGAGGTTCTGTGGGGGGCAGTCAGGGAGCAAGAAGTGGGAGGGAGTGGCTAGGGCGCGGGGCTACCCCCCCTTGAGCGTCCTCTTTTTTGAAAGTTCAAACATGGTAACCCTAAAAACAGTAATACATTCACTGCCAAAGAACTTCGTACACACAGAGTTACGGTTGCCCAGTTCAATCTGGTTTCCTACAAAACTCAGACTTTTGAAAACTAGGAAAAGCAGTTAATTACCTTAACTTTGCCCCAATGCGCCCATCACACACCCTTGCTCTCTGCCTTGGCCCTGTGGTGCACCGGAGCTCCCTGCTCCTGCCTAGCCCAGACACCCACTCAGCCTCCCCGCCAAAAACTACATTATAGCCCCTTCCCCTCCATCTGACGCGCCCATCTCCCCCACGTTATGGGCGGCCCCTGCGGCTCTCCCAGAGCCTGGCCTCCGACCACACGTAAGGCTCGGAGAGGGGCTTCTCCCCACAACACCGCACACCAGGCACGGCCCACCCGCCGCCCCGTGCTCGGCGGGCGGGCGGGCACCTCAGCGCTGCGGCCTCCGGAGCGACACCGGCGGGGAGGTGCGCAACGGCCCCCCGACGCCCTAGGAGCGCCACGAGCAAGACCCTACCCGCGGGGATGGAGCCGGGCCCGGCTGAGGAAGCGGTGCCCGCCCCGGGACGACACGCATCGCGGGGGCCCGCGAGGAAGCCATGCTGCTCAAGAAGGGAGGGAGACCTGTGAGCCGGGCCGGGCCTCACATCCACTTCCGGGTCACCGGGTGGAAGGGGGTGTGCGTGTGCTTCCGGGTTACATGGGCATGGAGGGAGGTGCTGGCCGGCCGGCTGGAACGTGGCGCGGGGCATGCCGGGAGGTGTGGTCCCACGGGGCGGGGGCGCCGGTCGGGTTAGGGGCCCGTTTGCTTTTGGCGGGGCCGGGCCAGGGTGGGTGCGGCCGGCGGTGAGTGCTGGGGGCCGGGGCGTTGGGGTGGCAGGGGTCTGTGGGTCTCCTGGGGCCGGGGAGGAGTGAGGGAGTGTAGGAGCCCCTTGGGGGATCCCTCTGCCCAGGGCTGTAACCCCCTCCCCGCCCTCACTCACCGGTGCCATTGTAAGCTGTCCGGGCAGGGGCCGTTCTGTGTGCAATACCCAGCACATGGGCCTAGGGGATTGCAAATGATAACTGGTCACCTGCAGCAGGAGCTAGTTAATCCACACACCATTCCGTCAGAGGCGGCCAGGCCCTGTTCTGAGACCTCCCCTTGCTCGCAGCAATAGCCAGCAGGCCCTTGGTGTCACGCTGTGGAGCATTCTAGCTAATTAAAACTAAACTGCAGTTTTCAGAGTAACAAGCCAAGTCGTCTGTGCTACAGTATGCGTAGTCACTGGCTAATTTACAACATTCAGACATTTGTCTGGTTCTCCCTTGTACTAGTGCAGGGTTGGGCAAACTATGGCCCGTGAGCCGCATCTGGCCCACCAGCCCTTTTAATCCAGCCCTTGAGCTCCCGCTGTGGAACGAGGTCTGGGGCTTGCCCCGCTCCAGCTGGGGCACAGGGTCGGGAGCTGCTCTGCATGGCTCCTGGAAGCAGCGGCATGTTCCCCCTCTGGCTTCTACACGTAGGGGCAGCTAGGAGGCTCTGCTCTGCATGCTGCTCCCAGCCCAAATGCTGCCCCTGCAGCTCATATTGGCTATGAACCACAGCCAATGGAAGTTGCAGGGGCGGCACCTGTGGACAAGGCAGCACGTAGCAGAGCCACCTGGCCACGCTTTTGTGTAGGAGCTGGAGGGGGGACATGCCGCTGCTTCCAGGAGCCACTTAAGGTAAGTGCTGCCCCGAGCCTGCATGCCAGAACCACCCTCTCCTGCCCCAGCCCTGATCCCCCTCCTGCCCTCCAAACCCCTTGGTCCGACCCCAGAGTACCTATCTACACCCAAAGCCCTCATCCCCAGCCCCATCCCGGAGCCCGCACCCCCAGCCAGAGCCCTCACCCCCTTGTACACCCCAACCCCAATTTTGTGAGCATTCATGGCCCGCCATACAATTTCTATACCCCCAGATGTGGTCCTCGGGTCAAAAAGTTTGCCCACCACTGTACTAGTGCAAGATAGCCAGGTTCTGCTGACCCTCTGTTAAAAATTCAAACAGGAACCAGTTTGTCTGAGAAGCATTCGAAATGCTGCGTCGGAAACCAACCCGCCTGGAGCTGAAACTAGATGATATAGAAGAGTTTGAGAGCATTAGAAAGGATCTTGAGGTGAGAGTAAACCTTCTGGAGACACTCCTGTATGGAAATCAGGTGATTGAACCCTGGTAATTTGGACTTGTGCATAACGGGGCTTGTCTGAGAATAGAACCTCACTCTGCAGCAGTGTACGAGCATGTACAAAAACCAATAGAAAATTTCAGCTAGTGCAGAGCAGCAGCCTTTTCATTTAGTGATGGTTCATGTACCGAGCATCTTACTCCTCTGTTCTACAGTCTCTGCAGCCTCCAGCTAACGTCCGGGTGCAGTTCAAGTTGGCTGATGTGTATCTTAGACATCTGCTTCTCTCCTCTTCTCAGTAGTCAAGTGAAGCTGGGAGTCTTGATTTGACGGTCCCTAAATTAGTACCTCTGGGGCCTGTCATTCTCAATGGAGAACTCTGATGTTGGAACTTGCTTTCTTGGGACCCTAATTGTGGGACCTCCAGGATATCTTGCATGGCCTGCCTATCTGCTCAGGCTGTCCCTGAGGGGATCGGTGAGTGGAGAGGGGCTCTATCTATTTCTGGTAGGGTAGGGGGTGCAGAGGAGCATTGATATTAATGTAGGTTTATCATTGTGTGAATGACATTTGTATTCATGCACCTGTAGCCATTGGGACAAGCATAATATTTACATTGAAAACATAGAATGATGTTAGTTGGGAATCTTGGGGCTATAGGTATGAAAAGGTCTGGAACATCTTAAAACTTCAGAGCCATCAGAATCCCTGCCTGGAATGATAGCCCCATAATTGCGAATATATAGGCCTTCTCCATTTCTTCAGGGAATGGCTGTGCACCCGACCTCTCTTCCCCCCCCCCCAACACACATTTTGTGAGTAACTTTATCTCTAAACACATCCTGAGCAAGGCTTGGCTTCCCTTAACTTGCAGGTTTCAGAGTGGTCGCCGTGTTAGTCTGGATCCGCAAAATGAACGAGGAGTACTTCACAACTACCACTTTGAAACCTGTCACCATGCAAGGCACTGAATTTAGCCATATGAAGTGGCAATCCTTAACTTACAGTGCACTGCCATGCACCTGTGTGACTGTAGCATCACCCCTATTAATTGATAGCCATTTGTATACATGCGGGTTGTGAGATGTCTTAATTCTGTGACTCGTGTATTAACACTTATGGGACAACATATTTTCATTAGGGCTGTCAATCACAGTTAACTCACATGATTAACTCAAATTAATTGTGATTAAAAATTAATCAGTTTTAATTGCACTGTTAAACAATAGAATACCAATTTAAATATATTAAATATTTTTGATTTTCTACATTTTCGTATATATTGTGTTGTAATTGAAATCAAAGTGTATATTTTTATTACAAATATTTGCACTGTAAAAATCATAAAATAAATAGTATTTTTCAATTCACCTCATACAAATACTGTAGTGCAATCTTTGTTTTGAAAGTGCATCTTACAAATGTACATTTTTTTTGTTACATAACTGCACTCAAAAAACAAAACCGTGTAAAACTTCAGAGCCTACAGGTCCTACTTCTTGTTCAGCCAATCACTAAGACAAACAAGTTTGTTTACATTTACAGGAGATAATGCTGCCCTCTTCTTATTTACAATGTTACTAGAAAGTGAGAACAGGCATTTGCATTGCACTTTTGTAGTTGGCACTGCAAGATATTTGCGTGCCAGATATGCTAAACATCCGTATGCCCCTTCATGCTTCGGCCACCACTCCAGAGGACATGCTTCCATGCTGACGCCACTTGCTAAAAAAAAAAGCGTTCATTAAATTTGTGACTGAACTCCTTGGGGGAGAATTACAATTGTCCGCTCTGTTTTCTATCATATATTTCATGTTATAGGAGTCTTGGATGATGACCCAGCACATGTTCGTTTTAAGAACACTTTCATAGCAGATTTGACAAAAAGCAAAGAAGGTACCAATGTGAAATTTCTAAAGATAGCTACAGCACTCAACCCAAAGTTTAAGAATCTGAAGTGCCTTCCAAAATCTGAGAGGGACGAGGTGTGGCATTTGTTTTCAGAAGTCTTAAAAGAGCAACTCTCCGATGCGGCGCTTACAGAACCCGAATCACCAAAAAAGAAAATCAACCTTCTGCTGGTGGCATCTTTCTCAGATTATGAAAATGAACATGCGTTGGTCCACACTGCTTTGGATTGTTATCAAGCAGAACCCATTATCAGCATGGACGCATGTCCCCTTGAATGGTAGTTAAAGCATGAAGAGACCTATGAGTCTTTAGCGCATCTGGCACATAAATATCTTGTGATATCGGCTACAACAGTGTCATGAGAACGCTTGTTCTCACTTTCAGATAACATTGTAAACAAGAAGCGGGCAGCGTTATTTCCTGCAAATGTAAAAAAACTTGTTTGTCTGAGCAATTAGCTGAACAAAAAGGACTGAGTGGACTGGCAGGCTCTAAAATTTTACATTGTTTTACTTTTGAATGCAGATTTTTTTTGTACATAATTGTACATTTTCAACTTTGATGATAAAGAGATTGCACTACAGTACTTGTATTAGGTGAATTGAAAAATACTATTTCTCTTTTTTACAGTGCAAATACTTGTAATCAAAAATAAATATAAAGTGAGCACTATACTTTGTATTCTGTGTTGTAATTGAAATCAATATATATGAAAATGTAGAAAACATCCAAAAATATTTAAATAAATGCTATTCTATTATTAACAGCACGATTAATCACAATTAATTTTTTGAATTGCTTGACAGCCCTAATTTTCATCGTTATGGCTATCCAAAAACATCCAATGAACTTGTTCAGTCTGTAAGCAGTTTCTCTAATGAAATCAGCTTACCTAACATTTTTCATACCTTCACAGTTTGAAGGCTCTCCCTGTGGTCAGTTGTCAGAGCTGAAATGGACATCTCCTTGACAGTGCTAACATTCCATCCATTGAAGAGTTTCTCTAGTTTTCCATTGTCCTTATTTTTAGTTGATCACTTTTCCCCCCCCCTCCCCAGAGTTGTAAGAAGCAGCGTGAAGATGTGGATGAAGTGGGAGCCGGTGATGGAGAAGGAGCTATTGGTCTGAGCAATGACCACAAGAGTCGAGAACAAATGATAAATGACCGAATTGGTTACAAACCTCAGCCCAAACCCAACAACCGTTCCTCCCAGTTTGGAAGTTTTGAATTCTAGAGATTTGATGGCCTGCCACCTTCCACGGGCAATTGAGTGTTCCATGATGGGGTGTTCATCCCAGACAGTGCTGGCAGAGATGTTCAAAGGCTGTTTGGGTAGCTCTAGAGTTGGCTGGGACTGGCCTGTGTCTGCCAATGAGTCTTGGGCTTCAATAGGGGAAAGTGTTTGCCTTTTCCCAAGGCTGGTGGGATGTGTTTTTAACCTGACTTGTTACTGTACCTCCAGAAACCCCTCTGCCCAGCCACTTTGTTTTAAATAAATATTTTTTTTAAATGAGAGGCTCTTAATGTATCAGAAAACACACACAGGGGCAGGTAAAGATTAATGGAAAATGTTAACAGCAGAGTTGGCCTCCTGTGGGGGAGAAAAACAGGAATCAACCGAGGGCACTGCCCCAGCTCCACGTGATGCAGGTGTTTGAGCCCAGGGGAGTAATTCAGAGAGGTGTCACTCACATTTTTATGGATTGGGTAGCTGTGAGTGAAAGCCTGTTTCTCTGCACACCAAGGGGAGGCAGGGCAAACTTCCCTAGATACTGCGCTCGCACAACTGCCTGTTTACTCCCAAGTTGTCAAATCCTTGGCCTCCCCTGAGCATGCCACGAAGGAAGCCAAGTACAATGGCTGCTATGTGGATTGTTGGTTTACTAGGAAGTGGACCAGGCTTCAACTCTTTCACAGAAGTCATTTCATAGCTGCATTCAGACAGCTACTGCCAAGCTGAGGTGGATTTGAGCTGGTGCCTCAAAGATGAAAGGCTCAAATCCCTTTCACAATCCAATCTCCCTCTCTAAATACTTCCAAGAGTGCAATAGTATAAATGGGAGGCTTGGGAGGTGACTCACTTTGTGGTAAAAAGCCTTTCTGATAAATAAGTTTGACTCTGACAATGGAAGTAGTAAATAATTAAAAGCCCAATAGTGTGACTAGGCTGTAGCTATTTGGAGAGGATTTTTAGAGTGCTGAGGGGCGTTGGCTGTAAAGAGCAAAGGCCACCAATCATAGCTGTATAGCTTAATGTCGCAGACAAAAAATATGCCTAAATCGATTGTTTTCTGGCAGAGGCTGATCAGCAAAATACAGAGATCTGAGATGAAGGTTAGCAGTGCTAGGGTTAACTGGCTGTATGGCCAGCACCTGTACCTGAGTGAGGTCATGGTCAGCTAAAGGGATGGAGTTCAGGCCACAAGTAAATGACTGAGAGAAAGCTAGGTTACAAAAACTGAGGGAACTGAGTCTTGGTGTACAAGACTGACACTCCACTCCCTACTGGCTGAGCCTGGGGACAGAAGGCAGGACATGGACCCTCAGAGTGGATGACTAAGTTAACATCTCTTTGTCACCTTCTGTCCAAGGTTGTTTCCCACCAGTTTTTGATGCATTGGCCATTCTTGTTCCAAGTAGCCCAAGTGATGGAGTAACCACCATTTTTTGAGGGAGACCAGTACTACACAGTGGCAGATTTTCCTTGTCTTAGTTTTGTCCTGCTACTCCTAGTTATAAACTCATCTATCATACTAAATTCCTCTCCAGCATTGCTGTTCACCCACTTGAAACAGCTGTAGGTTTATGGCCCCTCTGCTCAGGATGTATATAGAAAGCACAACCCCCTCCAAAATCTGCTCACTACTGTTCCTCTACTTGACTTTTCCCATCCATTGTAAGCTTACATGAGCAGAAAGTTACTCGTGCTGGTCATGCATCAGTGAGCTCCAGCACTACTATCCCAAGAGCTTTGAAGGCTGTTTTTCATGGGCTGGTATTGGTACTCAAGTGCCCCAGCAAATGCTGTTTCTTTTCTCCATTCTTAAACACAGCAAGCCTGGTACTCAAAGCCTCTGCAGTGTACTTGCCCTGTGAAGGTGGGTCAGCTGGAAAGGAGCTCGGGATAAGGCCATGTTGAGCAGTCTAGGTGCTGACTGCATCAGCCACTTACAGCTGGGTAGTTACTCTTCGTGGTGTTTGCTCTGGCTCAGTGCCCAGCTTTACCTTTTCCATGTTGGAGGTAGCTTCCAAGACACTTCCACCCCAGTAAAATGCAGTCTACTTTATTAACTAATTATATACAGGAAGAGCTCTATTTGCATTTCAAACAAGTTGTTTCCAGAACAGTGGATTTAAAAACAAAGTCATGGTCCCCTGTAACCAACCCTGTGATACAGCTGGAACAAGCTATAGCTCAACTAAAAGGCACTACCCCCAATTGTTTCCTAAAGGCACTTAGATTAAAAAAAAAGCAACAAAAGACAGTTTATTTGCAACAGAATTCAGAGCCTAGGAGTTGAGTGAACACTGTAATTCATCCAAGGTCACAATCAGGAGGTACAGTCTGAAAACATACTTGCATACAGCCCATCATACATTATCTTTAAGCTTGTTAAATAAATGTATTAAGAACAATTATTAGTCATTGGAGGGGGGCTTTCCTCCAATAGAAGTCTAGTGTCAGCATCAGGAGGTCTGCCTCAAACACTCCTGCAAAAGATTCCAGGCAGGAAAAGGGGTGTTACTAGAAGGTGCTCTAGAGAGGTTGGCAAATCAACCAGCCTGGGCCAGGAACACAGGGATGTTAGGACTGATGTACCATGTGGAGACTGTAACCCAGTGAGGGATGTGGCTCTGTCAGTTTATTTTATAAACGCACCACTAGATTGTCAATTTACATTTAACCACAAAGGGTAAAACCTGGCCATGGATTGAAGGCTCATGAGAAGCCCACAGAGATAATAGGGGCACACTCATTAAGTGAGCCTCAAGGCTAAGACATGGCCCTGGCCACTCTTAGCAAACTTATGAAATACAATGATTCAGGCTAGTAAAGTCTATGAACATTGAGAGACATCAGGGTCTCATCAAGCAGAGAAAGCATGCTGCAATCAGGGTAGAGTAGAGAGGCACAATTCATGTATGGGGGATGGGGAAGAGTAGTTTTGAATTGTACTTGTTACCGATGTGTCCCTCTCTTCCTCTCCCAGCCTTGGCCTGACTAGCATCAGAACCTACTTCACCCACTTGAGCCAGTGCCAATCCCTCTAGTGAAGTTACTTAATGGCTCCATGCCCTGAAGTTTAACAGCTAGGAGGCAGAAAGGAGGGAGTTGAGGGGGGGCCTAAGTGCTATGACAGGAGAGAATTGTTTGAAGTACATTAGGAGGCTTTTTCCTTCCATGATGCAGCTGGTACAGGCCACTGCTGGAGAGAGGACATCAGTCTGGCTGGAACTTTGCTGCACTATTGTACCCTACCTCGTTTTCACTGTACATTAGTTACTCCTCAGGAGGCCACTCCTTCCACATCACCTTGGACATTTATTTGGGTCTGGAAAACACCAGGACTGTAAAGGGAAGAACCTGCACTGCCAGGCATGGAAGAATGGAGCCAGGAGTCTTCCTTATCTCCCGTCAAAATCCCAGAAGGGGTAGTCACATCTGATCCCCTTGATTTTCATTCACATGCTGATCAGCTACATGAAACAGCAAAAGCTGAAAGCGTGAGTGTGTTCATGTGTGAGCACTGGGAGAGAGCTCTCCCAGCACTCCTGGTAAACCACCTCCATGAGGCGTCTAGCTCCGAGCGCTGGGAGCCTGTCCATACTAGCGCTTTAAAAGTGCTCAGACTTGCTGTGCTCAGGGGGTGATTTTTCACACCGGAGCCAGCAAGTTAGAGCGCTATAAAATGTAAGTGTAGACAAGCCCTCAGAGTCTCTACAATGAGTACACTGTGACAAAGGAAACACTACTGCCAGTTCATCACAGCTGAGCCCATAGCCTTCTGGGACATTAACAGCTGTCAGCAGTTGCTTAAAGTAGCAACAAGCCACAATGTGCTGAGAGGTCAGTGGCTATTTGGACACGACCAGAACATGAACTGGAGTTCATATTGGGACTGATTCTAAGGCCGTACTGACCATGCATCCCCTGGGCCAACCTAGCTTTTTCTTCCTTGCCTCTGCCATTTCTCACCCTCTGGTGATTTTATTTAATTTCAGAGCATCTGGGGATAGTAGAGTTTGTGTGAGAGGCTGCTTGAGACCACGCAGCCCTGCCCCTCACATCACATTCAGGGGCTGTAAAACAAATATCATTTTTGTAGCATCTTTCATCCCGGGGCTGTAAAACAAATATCATTTTTGTAGCATCTTTCATCCCAAAGTACCTTACAAATGAGCTAATCAACTCTGAATAGCAGAAGTTCTCCAGGTTTCCCATTCCATGACACTCTTTGGGAGAGACCCAGGCCCACCTTTCCCACAGCCAGATCAAGAAGGGCTCCAAGGGCCCAAGATTGACCTTAGGCCACAGTATCAGAACCAACAATATACAGAGATCACATCAAGAACCCGATCAGTCATTTCACACCACATAGCTGCTTAGGACAGGAGATGTGGTATAAAATAACCAGTTAAGCTGCAAGGGGATTTAAGGAGGCAGAACAGCATTTCTCCCATCAGAATCAGGCCAGCACACTCGGCTAACAGCCCACCTCCTACCCAGAAAACCAAGAGATCTTTAACAAGCGGTCAGGAACTCAGATTTACATGTCATCTCTAGCACCTTAGCAACACAGAATTCCCTAGTTCCACAGTTTAGCTGTGACTCAGAGGGAAGACCACCAACTATTGAATCAACCTGCTGCCCACAGGGATCTCCCAGAAGGACCTGAACCCTGCCTTGTTCGTGAGATCTGTTGGGCTCCTAGCACGAGGGGCCTGGCTGGAGGGTGGGAAGCTCTCCACTGGCTGCTGCCCAGCTCTGACGTTGGCATTGGTTGCTCCAGCACAGCCATGTTGAGAAGTTCCAGTTTGGTGATTATGATAAAGAAGAGTCCTCAGGGTTGGAACTCCTTTTACTGACCCTACAGTCTCTTATCCCCCAACCCTCATCTAAGAGGAGCAAGTTTTAAGGCTGCTATATCCTCCCTACACAAGTTTGGTTCTTTACCTGCCAGCCCAGCCAAGGAATATCCTCTACAGAAATGTCAATCTTTAATAGCTTTCTTCGTGTCACTTGGTTTAACCGGAAAGAAAAAAAGAAATCACAATATTGTAAACAGTCAGAACAATAGAGCCAGCTGCTGACAATTTGCATTGAATGACAAATCTGAGTCTAACAGCACATGGCTGCAAATCGAGATGAAATCAACAGGGCTTCAATGGTTTATTTAAAGTCTCTTTCTACTACTTAAAAATGCAATTGCTGATTTGCATATGGTGAGTACATTTCCATGATCAGTAAGCTGAAGTGGCCAGTTTGAAATGTTCCTGCTGTTCAGAGCTGAGCAGAGCAAGAATACAGCAGAAAACCAGCAACATTAAACAGACTTGAAAGCGGCCCCAGTCTGGCCCAGATACAATATGCCCACTGGAGTTAATAAGAATGGTGCACACTTCTCGGAGCAGACCTGAACCCACTAGGCCTCTGGTGATTTACCAGCAGCACTAATTTTGTGGACAGAAGTTTCTACAAACTGTCCCAGAGGGTTTTGCTGGCCCAGAGGTCAGTCACATCCCCGCCTCCCTTCCCCAGGCATTAAGTACAGAATTTTTTAGAAAATTAAAAATAGCCATTGTCACATACTAGCTCTTTTATCGACCATTCATAAAACCCCCAGATCTGAGCATTTATTCTTTAAAAATAAAATGCTTTAAAAGGACAGTTCAATAATCTTGTAAATATCTACTTGCTACATAATTTCAATCAGGGAAAATCTACAAATACAACATAAATCGTGGTCAAGGGTGGCTCTGGTGTGACCTCAAGAGCTGGTCCATCTAGCGTGGGTGCCAGGCTGCTTGGTGGGAAATCCCCAACACCAAGAATCCCTGTGAGCTGCCCAGGCATTGTCCTGACTAGGACATTGGTGGTAAAACACACACTGATTTTCATGGTGTATGTTGCTTCTCAGTCAGCCGGGGAATGATCCTCATCTTCTTGGTGACTGCAGTTAGAGCGAGCGAAGGGGCAGAGAGAGGCTCTCGCTCTGTGTCCAGCATTAATGGCAGTGCTCCGTGATATCCACAACAACTGCCTTTTTCCAACTGAAGAGGAAGTAGCCAGTGCCTGCGCCTGCTGCCACAGCTATGCAGAGGTATGCATTGTAGGTCATGAAGATCAGCATGAGGAAGTAACTGACCACCACTTGTATGATGTGCAGCACTGTCTGCAGGAGATGAGGGAAGCTCAGCATCTGTTGTCTGAGGAATCAGAAAAATATGACCAGTCAGTGAACAAGAGTCACAGGATGGGAAATGCAGGGTCCCCGCAGAGAGAAAATAACCCATGGGCTGGGAATGCCAAGTTACATAACATAAGCCCGGCTGTACTGGGTCAGACCATAGGTCCAACCACCCCAGTATCCTGCCTACCGACAGTGACCAATGCCAGGTGCCCCAGAGGGAGTGAACCTAACAGGTAATGATCAAGTGATCTCTCTCCTGCCATCCATCTCCACCCTCTGACAAACAGAGGCTAGAGACACCATTCCTCACCCGTCCTGGCTAATAGCCATTAATGGACTTAACCGCCATGAATTTATCCAGTTCTTTTTTAAACCCTGTTATAGTCCTAGCCTTCACAACCTCCTCAGGCAAGGAGTTCCACAGGTTGACTGTGTGAAGAACTTCCTTTTATTTGTTTTAAACCTGCTGCCCATTAATTTCATTTGGTGGCCCCTAGTTCTTATATTATGGGAGCAAGTAAATAACTTTTCCTTATTCACTTTCTCCACACCACTCATGATTTTATATACCTCTATCATAGCCCCCCTTAGTCTCCTCTTTTCCAAGCTGAAAAGTCCTAGCCTCTTTAATCTCTCCTCATATGGGACCCATTCCAAACCCCTAATCATTTTAGTTGCCTTTCTCTGAACCTTTTCTAATGCCAGTATATATTTTTTGAGATGAGATCACATCTGTACGCAGTATTCAAGATGTGGGTGCACCATGGATTTATATAAGGGCAATAAAATATTCTCCGTCTTATTCTCTATTCTTTTTTAATGATTCCTAACATCCTGTTCGCTTTTTGACTGCCACTGCACACTGTGTGGACGTCTTCAGAGAACTATCCACAATGACTCCAAGATCTTTTTCCTGATTAATTGTAGCTAAATTAGCCCCCATCATATTGTATGTACAGTTGGGGTTATTTTTTTCAAATGTGCATTACTTTACATTTAATCACATTAAATTTCATTTGCCATTTTGTTGCCCAATCACTTAGGTTTTTTGAGATCTTTTTGAAAGTGGCCATTAAACACCAAGAGAGATGGGATAGTAAAGGGCAGAGATCTCCTGTCATGTGTATTTGTCCTAGATGACTAGAATGTCCTCCATGAAGCTGGGTGCTTTGTAATAAAACCGGTTATTCCTGGATAAGGAATAATGAGGTTCACAGAGTGATCACAGCTGCTAAGGTTTGAGGATCAAAATCATTCCAGCTCATTTTACTACCTGGCCCTCATTGCCAGCCACACAGGGCAGCTTGTCTGCAAACAGAGGCCTTGACCACTTGTGGGCACAGAAAGATCCTTTGGTGCCTTATGTAAGAATAGGCAGAGAGTCTAGTGTCCTGGCCAAATTAAAATGTGGAAACAGCACACCTCCCTACGAGCTTCCCCTGCTTTTATTTGTTGTTTCCCTTTTCATAAAAAGGGCCTCATGTGGCTGATGCAGAGTAGCTGTTGCATTCCCTTCCCTCCAAAAAAGAGAGCTGCAGGTTCCTGTATTTATAGTTCATTCTTTAGGCTCCTTCAGGATGAAGCGTGTACAAGCATGAAGTTAGTTTTACTGCAGAGGACTTTTTGATCTGCCTAGAATTTGCTATGTTTCAGTCTTCGTGTTTTCTGCTGAGATAAGCAGGGTTTGTGTTAGAAGGAAAGTGGATTCTTACCCAACTGTTTTGTGCGTCTCCATCAAAGTGGTGCCATTTGGTCCCGGGACAGGCATGGAGTTGTAGCGAATGCTGACCTGTGATTTACGGAGCAGACTCTCCCGGGCTATTTTGAGGCCCTCATAAAACATGGCTAGGAAGAAGACTGCGACAAAAGCACCAGCCATTTCTGATAGACAGGAAAGGACAAAACAAGGTTAATGACTCTGCACAGAATGAGTCATCTGCTTCAAGCACACAGAGAAAAGCACCTAACAATCCAACAAACAGCTCCCACCACACAGGCCACAGGGAGTGTGATGTCCAACCCCATAAAGTGAAACTCTCAACCACATTCGCTAAGGCTTGTGCAACACTCAAATAGTGACACGGAAGTCTTCCCATCACCTTCAGCCTCTGTGCCCCAATTTCCAACCTGTTAACATCTTGCCCTGGACACTCTAGGAACCTATGACCTCATGGGGTGGGGTCATTCAGACAAGACTGACCAGTAGCAAGCCTTTGGTTTGGCCTGGGGTGAGCAACAAGTCAGCTGCTTTGCTAAAATAGCTTTACTAACCTCCAGGTGTATTGATCACTAGTCCAGAAAACAGCAGCGGCACGTTCTTGTAGCTGAAGTGGAAAGTCATGTCCTGGCCAAGACAGAAAAATCATTTAAAACCTCAGCAAGATGTGTAAGCTCCAAGGGAGGGAGACAGAGCTTCACAGAACACACAGACAAGTCCTAAGGAAGTTAAATGGAAGGACTTTGTTACAATATAACTAGAGTTAACCTTGGAGGCAGTTCATTCTGGTCAGTAACTAAGTACATAGTTGAAATAACATTCTACCGCAAACCTAGTGTAGCACTGCGGTCTGTGTTTCTGCTAGGTATTGCTGTGCACACTCCAGTTACAGCTATAACTAGTCCCTTGTCCATTTGTAACTAACTATTTTAATTGAAAAGTCACTGGATTTTACTCTAAAAATTTCTCCAGCAGCATTTTTATTACTTTGCCTATATGTAAATTTCAATCATCAGTGGATTTTTTTTGTCAGTTTGTGTGTGCACGGTGATTAACATTTATCCATAAAAATCTAACCCTTCAAACCCTACCTATAAAACTTAAATAAAGGGCTTATTGTTTTGTTAATTTCTTTTTAAAAAGTGATCCCACGTAGATCATTAAGGTGTGCCCAGTGTGTTGTCTGAAGATGCACAATTCTGTGGCGATGCATCTTTTTTTTTTATTTTTCAGTGTTAAAAAGATCTAGTGGATTTTCTCCCTTCTGTGAATCTTACTGGCAGATGTCTTCAGGTTATAAAAAGATGACAATGTAAATTAAAGACAGAACAGAGAGAGAGAGAGAGGGGATGCTTCTTCTTCAGGCCACTAACAGAAGTTACTAGATCACAGGCCCTGGTTTTCATGGGGGACTTCAATCACCCCGATATCTGCTGGGAGAGCAATACAGCAATGCACAGACAATCCAGGAAGTTTTTGGAAAATGTAGGGGACAATTTTCTGGTGCAAGTGCTGGAGGAACCAACTAGGGGCAAAGCTCTTCTTGACCTGCTGCTCACAAACAGGGAAAAATTAGTAGGGGAAGCGAAAGTGGATGGGAACCTGCGAGGCAGTGACCATGAGATGGTCAAGTTCAGGATCCTGACACAAGGAAGAAAGGACAGCAGCAGAATATGGACTCTGGACTTCAGAAAAGGAGACTTTTCTGCTGATGGGCAGGATCCCCTGGGAGAACAACATGATGGGGAAAGGAGTCCAGGAAAGCTGGCTGTATTTTAAAGAATCTTTATTGAGGTTGCAGGAACAAAACCATCCCAATGTGCAGAAAGAATAGTATGTATGGCAGGCGACCAGCTTGGCTTAACAGTGAAATCCTTGCACACAACACAAACACAAAAAAGAAGCTTACAAGAAGTGGAAGATTGGACAAATGACTAGGTAGGAGTATAAAAATATTGCTCAGGCATGCAGGAGTGAAATCAGGAAGGCCAAATCACACTGGAGTTGCAGCTAGCAAGGGATGTTAAGAGTAACAAGAAGGGTTTCTACAGGTATGTTAGCAACAAGAAAGTGGTCAAGGAAAGTGTGGGCCCCTTATTGAATGGGGGAGGAAACCTAGTGACAGAGAATGTGGAAAAAGCTAAATGTACTCAATGCTTTTTTTGCCTCTGTCTTCACAAACAAGGTCAGCTCCAAGACTACTGCACTGCGCAGCACAGTATGGGGAGGAGGTGACCAGCCCTCTGTGGATAAAGAAGTGGTTCAGGACTATTTAGAAAAGCTGGACGAGCACAAGTCCATGGGGCTGGATGCACTGCATCTGAGGGTGCTAAAGGAGGTGACGGATGTGATTGCAGAGCCATTGGCCATTATCTTTGAAAACTCATGGTAATTGGGGGAGGTCCAGGATGCCTGGAAAAAGGCTAATGTAGTGCCCATCTTTAAAAAAGGGAAGGACGACAACCAAGGGAACTACAGGCCCTTTAGCCTCACCTCAGTCCCTAGAAAAATCATGGAGCAGGAATCAATTTTGAAGCACTTAGAGGAGAGGAAGGTGATCAGGAATAGTCAACATGGATTCACCAAGGGAAAGTCATGCCTGACCAACCTGCTTGCCTTCTATGATGAGATAACTGGCTCTGTGGATACGGGGAAAGCGGTGGACGTGTTATTCCTTGACTTTTGATACAGTCTCCCACAGTATTCTTGCCAGCAAGTTAAAGAAGTATGGGCTGGATGAATGGACTATATGGTGGATAGAAAGCTGGCTAGATCATCAGGCTCAACAATGGCTCCATGTCTAGTTGGCAGCCGGTATCAAGAGGAGTGCCCCAAGGGTCGGTTCTGGGGACGGTTTTGTTCAATATCTTCATTAATGATCTGGAGAATGGCGTGGACTGCACCCTCAGCAAGTTTGCAGATGACACTAAACTGGAAGGAGTGTTAGATACCCTGGAGGGTAGAGATCGGATACAGAGGGACCTAGACAAATTGGAGGATTGGGC